TTTTAATTGTTTTATAAATCCATATACTTTAATTAAAACTAACATATATACTTTTTATTTACTAGTTCTATTAAAAATTGTATTTGTCAGTATAGGCAGAAATACTCCTTTAATACCAAAACAAATTGGCGCTGCTGTCGCGCACGGAGCGAATATATACACGCTTAGATACTACAGTATAGGTTTCACATTTAGTAGCTATTTCATCCACAGAAAGTGAAACAAATTCTTTTCCAAGATTAATAAATACATTAAGTACGATATTTTTTTCTTCTAAAGATAATGCTTTATGTCCACTAGGTCGTTTACGCGTACTTGTGCTTGCAATATTTTCTAATGCACTCGACAATCTTATATAACTGTAAAATATATACTAATTAAAATACATAAATAAAGCCCGACTTATCTGTCAAAAGAAAAGGTTTATTACAGTAAAAACGATGGGAACGATTAAATCTAAACGAAAACTTTTATCAGATGTATTAAAATTTTCATTTTAACTACAAATAAGCATTGAAGGATGAATTATAAATAAATTGTCTACTTCTTGAACCTGTACTACGTTCTGCAAATTAAATTACTGTACTCCTTCCTTCTCTAGAGGTAAAAATCAGTTTTGAGTTTTTTTTATTAAAATATTTTTTTTTTGGGATATTTGGATTTCAACATTGATTTATATTTGCAAACAAAATTGTACGTTATATAGGAAATAACATTTATTATGTAATGAGAATATGTAGAGTATTAAAAAAATCAAAATACATTTTATTTTCGGTTACTTTTCTTAAAGTTTTAAAATCATTTTTGACACAAAATACTTTTTTGTTTATAAATAGAAATATTAAAACCCAAATATCACCAAAACGCAATTGAAACGTTTCTACTTCTAAAATGATTTCCCCCAAAAACTTAACTGGCTTTTACATAATTCAAATATCTCTAATAGTTTTAGAGATATTTAGAATGGAAGTTTTTATTAGGACACCCTGTATTTATATCTTAATTAAATGATTAATAAATTATTATTAACTCATGTTAAGATAAACTGTTGTTTTTTATACAGTTTTTGCAGATAGAGTATGGAATAAATGCATTATCTTTCCTAATACGTTGATTTGAAGAAAATTTCCTTTAATTGTATTCATGACGTCATTGCTTTACATATTATGTCATCCGTAAGGCTACTTAAAAGAGACACTACTAGTAGGTAGAGAGGGGTATAACAGGAACAGAAGTTGGAAAGGCTTTTCGCAATTCTCCCACTTCAGGATTTGACAGTTTTGCCGCGGAGCTAACTGAAGTGAACGCAAAACATTAGGGTAGAATTATTTTTTAGATGCGAATAACAATTTCGCGTAAATAGTGAATAGCTGTTAAAATTTTGTAAAATTATGATTTGAGTTATTAATACTTGCTTAAATATTTATAGCCCACAAATAAATACGATTGACCGATTCTGCCGGTAATAATTTAAAATGTTCGGTACTATTTTTATTCTACGTTACGACACTGACGAACAAACAGTGCCGCGAAATCTCGAAGTCGTCCGACGGGGTTTGACGTTTGCCACCTCTATACTTACCAAAAGCCTTTTTAAGGTCTGTCCCTGTTATACATGTAGAACAATTTCTCCCTTTCTTATGTGTATCAAGTGGGGGAACTGTAAACAAAGCTGTAAAGGTACTAAGGTACTTTTCAAGTACCCAGTAGTGATTTAACTTTTAACACGTCTGTGGTTAGTGTGACTTCAGTATATTTTATGTTATTATAACTTGTACCACTTCGAAATAGATGACGCATTTAGCATTCGGTCCTACGATATGCATTCTGCCGGACACATATGACCCATATGACTGTTGGTATCGCAGGTAACGTGTTTCAAAGACATTAAATAATTCAGTAAATACTTCTTGTTATGATAAATTTAAAGTGGTATTGTTAGTAATATACATAAGGACATTAAGGAATCATTTTCTACGAGGACGGTCAAAATAAACCAAAGAAAAATTGAAAACATCCGATCTCGTTGGGCTTGGTTTGTTTTCGCACCAACGGAAGCCCAGGAATTTATTCCTAAATTTCCTTCTGCATTTCTGAATTGTTTAATTTTTTCATTAATCTAATTTTGCAATAATTGTCCAAGTCTTTTGTTTTAAAACAAAGTTTTGTTTGACGACCTATTGGAATTAACAACAATTAGGTATATCAATTTATTGTTATGTCGTTACATGAAACTCATTAGTAACTTTTCATAAAGAAAGTATATAATTACTGAATAGTTAAAATTTGGAAAGAAAATCAGAAATTTAAATGAAAGACTAAAATCTCAAAATTAATACGACATATAAATAACTTTTAAGCCAATTATGTTCCTAGAAATGACACCTATGACGTCATGTAGGTACACGAAACTGGCGACGTCGTTACTATTTATTATTTGTAATGCTCAATTGATTTTGTCAAAATGAATATTTTTAGATTGAAAAATATATAATTTATACAAACTAGAGATGAGGCTTTTCATGAAAAGTAATTTTTGGACTAGTCCGACGTACATGTCCGGAAAAGTAGTGAAAAGTCACAAAGAAAAGTAGCCGATTTTGGACATAGAAGACACACAATTAAATGTTTGTCCACCCGGATGTTTTTTTCAAAAAACACTTTCAGACCAATATTTGTATTTTTTTTTTTTTTTTACAAAAATCATTTGTAAAATACTTCCAACCTTTAGATTTTTTTCGTAATTTTTTTTTATGATTTTATTTTAATAAGGTTGGAAAGGAAAATTAAAACAAAGTCTTTTAAATTAAATTTTCCTTTATAATAAATTCAGACAAATTAGGTTAATTTAATTTCTCGCATTCGCAACATAATATAAAATTTGATAAAAATGTCGATTGTTTTTAAACGTATAACATGTTAACTAAAATTCGCATTCTTTTTACAACTTAGCTTAGATCAGAATCTAACTTTTAGTTAGTCAAGTATATACCTGTAAAAAGAAATACTCCTTTAATACCAAAACAAATTGGCGCTGCTGTCGCGCACGGAGCGAATACCTACCTCTTTTAAATTAATATTCGACCGTGTAAACTTTTCATGAAATTCAGCTTACAGAGTTAAATAAAAAATACATAATCCTACATCTTACTGCTATAAACCTCCCGACTCTGGCCTAGACCAGGCCTGCACAACATTGTCGTTTTGGCGGCCTGTCGGCCGTTAACCAGTTTTATAAGCTGACGACCTTTTTTTTTTTTTTTTCTTTTTTCTTTTAGAAAAGTTGGGCAGAATTATAATGTGAGGACTTTTTAGAATCTAAACAGACCACTATAGGCTCAGGCCTCTCTTGGCCCTCGAACACTCTTAAGGTTTCTCAAACTGGTCCTTTAAAAATCTGAGTTGTGCAGGACTGGCCCAGACGTTTGCTTTTAAGGTCAGCAGTGGTGACAGTACCGCCCCTTGGGGTACTCCCGCTTCTAGAATTCCAGGTCTTGATAGGACATGTTCCATCTTGATCCGGAATTGCCTTCCCTTGAGGTACGACCTGAGCAGTCTTGTCATTCCTGCTGTGTACCCTTGGTCTTTCATCTTGAAAATCAGCCCAGCGTGCCATACTCTGTCGAATGCCTAGGCGACATCCAGGAATATGGTACCTGTAGACTGATTTCTGTTGAATCCTCTTGTGATTCCTTCAACGAGTCTTAGGACTTGCAGTTCGGTCGAGTGTTCTCTGAATCCGAATTGCTCGTCGGGTATGATGTTCAGATCCCTTGTTTGTTCTCTTAGTCTTCTAAGGATAATTCTTTCCGCAATCTTACTCATAGCTGGGAGCAAGCTAATGGGCCTGTAATTTTGCGGGAATTTGGGGTCCTTGTTGAGTTCCCGTATCATAATCACCTCTGCTTGTTTCCACAGTCTAGGGAAGTACTGAGTTCTTAAAATCCCGTTAATGATGGCTGTGAGGTAGACTGTGGCTTTCAGCGGGAAGTGCTAATCGCTCGGATGGAGATTTTGTCCCTGCCGCGGGCTTTCTTGGCAGATAGGTGCTTGATGATGGCTCTCATCTCGTCCGGAGATGAGGGCTCAAGGTATCCTATTTTGTGTTACTAATCCCTTTCAATAATTATTTAATTTATACAAAAAGTAACATCATTTAACCCCACTAACATTCATCTAATTATCTTAGTAAAGATGACTCAGAGCATCATCCCGAATACAATCGATTTAAAATGCATTAATTAGTAAAGATAATTAAGATTATGAGCATGTGAAAGATTGTTGATTTGACCTAATTTATTAATAAATACTTTACAACTACAAGGGTAGAAATAAACTTGAATTTAATCATTAAGTACCGTGCCAATTTTTGGTTTTCAATGTACAACTCGAGAATGTTGATTGACCTGTAAATTTTATCGGCCACTGTAATCTTCCCTAAAATAGTATCTTTAACGGTTTAGAATATAGTAATGTTGACACAACATAAAAGAAACTGGCAATATATTATTTTTTTAGCTACTTACCTATTATAAATAAAATGTCTACCTATTGAACCTGTACTATCTTTTGCAAATAAAATTACTCATTTCTTGTTAATCTTTTTAATATTTTTTGTATCTATTATTTTACCGTTATCATCCTATGAAAGTGTTGTTAGAAATCACAATATTAATTTCGACAAAACACTGTCCGTAAAACACTTTAAAAATTATTCAATAAGGGATATAAAAATAAACTAATCCAAAACCAGCCAAATCTTGATTGAATGTTTATAGCTTGATTTCCTGGTTTTACTTTTCTTGATAAAATTATTTTGTGGTCGTAGAAAAAATATTGCACTTATGTAAAAGTGATTTTTCACACTCCTAATGTAATAAAATATTCTATCTCTGCGGTATTAGTTGTTTTTCTGAGGGCAACTGTCGCTCTTATTTTTATGTAACAAACTTATTTTATCCAAATCGTGCATTTTCTGAACGTTTATTATTTTATTTCAGTAACCTTGGAAATGTATATAAAGAAAGAGGGCAGCTTCAAGAAGCTTTGGAAAATTACAGACATGCCGTAAGGCTAAAACCCGACTTCATCGATGGTTACATCAATCTGGCAGCTGCGTTAGTAGCTGCTGGCGACATGGAACAAGCTGTACAAGCATACATCACTGCTTTGCAGTACAAACCAGTTAGTATTTATTTTTAATTATGCTTATATTGTTTACAGTTAGCATTGAAATTATTGCTTTATTGAACAAAAAATGGTATATTGTTAGAAGTTTAATGAATTAATTTCATAATTATTGTTTTTAAATGATTTATCACCCTGTGTAGCCACTTCACAAAACATCTATTAACATGGTTTTATAATGTTCTATTAAATTTCTCGAAAAACTAAACTAAACAATGTTAAAAATCTTGATAATTAAGAAACCCGTCAGTCTAATCGGCGCCGGTCTCCTAATTTGCTGACTAACAGTATCAACAATGCTCTTATGGTATTTCTATTGTTCAATGAAGCTGTAATTTTTAAGCGTGATTCCTCAGCGATGCATTGTTTTTTTTTATTATTTCAGGATCTCTACTGTGTTCGTAGTGATTTGGGAAATCTTCTAAAAGCTTTAGGTCGTTTAGACGAAGCAAAAGTAAGTGGATAACCTAAAAATGTTCACGCCCATTTGTGACATTCATGCGAAAATTAAGTCGCTTTCAAAGTAGGAACGAGACATTTCAAAATACTTTGAAGACGGCTTTTTTGTCATTCATTTGTTTTTAATTTTGATTAAAAATATTTGGCCGAGGATTTTCTGGTAAGCGTTGCGCGTATTTTTGGGTGCGTAAATTCAGCGAAAATTTGGTTCTATCCATTGAGTGTTGGCGTCGATTTTCTTTATGTTTGGCAATTATTACCGTTTTTTAGATAGTGTAAGCAAATAAGCGTAGATTTTCTTTTATTCTATATTGTTTTCAAGTTACCACAGTTAACAATTACAATAAAGATATATTTTTTTCTGTTTAAAATAGTCTGTAGAATGTAATTATTGACTGTTAACGTTTCTTTTTTTGGGCTAAGCGTACATTGTGTAGTTTTAAATGATTTCTTTTAAAGAAAATAATCGGCCAAATAATTTCCAAGTACAGGTTGTTGTTACCTACTTGTAAAAGTAATATTAAAATATTTTGATAATTTTTTAAATAAAATAAATTCAACATTATTCACATTTATCTCTATCATGTTTCTCTTATTCCGAACTTCCTAAAAAAGGATATCACCAATCGATTCCGTTATAATGGCTTTTTTTAAATTTCAAATACACCCGAGGTAAGTATGAATACCCGATAATGCATATTAACTTTATTTAAATTAAGGACTTATTAGAAAATTTTCAAATCTTTTAATGCTATTTTTAATCTATGTTACTGTGATGGAATTTCACATAATATAGAAGAAAATATTTACAAGTGAAAAGAAGTTAGATTAGTTACATTTAGTTAGTATACGATTGTTTTTCTTATATTCTTTGGAGCTATTTTATTGCGATTGCGTAAGTTTTCTATTTTTTATAATATACATATACATATTAAAATTGGTTAGTATTTGAACTTTCCTAGAATGAACAAAATATATATAATCGACTTTAAATTATAAATGGTTTATTTGAATTGAATAGGTTATTGTGCTTAGTTTAATGCCAGCAATATATGGTGGATCTGCTACTGACAATGTTGTCAAACCGTTTTAATTTTAACCGAGGGGCGGCATTTTGATAAGCTATTGTAGTCTCAACATTTTTATTTCTGATTTGTTAGTTTATCCTTTTTTTGTTTGTCAAAAAAGAAAGGAATTTAATTAACAAAGTAATTTTTTATTTCTGGAAATTTGACACATTTCTCTGTGTATAATATTAATATAGAGACATTTATAATCAGTCCATTATAAACATAAATGTCATTAGATTGGCTGTAAAAAACATCTAAATGATAATTTTAAAGTTGCGGTATCCTTGTCAAATGATTAATTTTTGTCCAATTTCGAATATAACGTATAACCATCACCCATTTATCGGAAAATAACTCGTTGGTTTATCAGCAATTTTTTAAAACTTTCTCCAGTCATAGTTTTGTCATAGTCTATCATTGATTTTTGAGTCCAGTAGCAAGTCACGCCCCTTTAAAAATCCAAATTTCGACCTGTACATATAAAATAGTAAATCGTTTCCCCCAGTATTGATTTGTAAAGGATAAACTCCGAGTCCAATTCACGTGTACGGTAACTCCACACTGTAGTTACAGTGGCACAGGGACAGACAAGTACTGCTCCTAAAACTTCTTAGTAGCCCAGAAAACAGCTACCAGCAAGAGCTTTGGGGCTCCGCTCACAAAATAGGAAAATAAAAACCAAGGCAAAAGAAAGAAGCAGGAGGAGGGCCCTACAAAATTAAAATAATATAAGCACTAGGTCATGACAAACTAACCCTAAAATTTAATCAATGTAAATACCACGTTTTAATGCTATAAAATATCGAGACGTACTCTCAACTCCATTAGTTCGCTAGAATAAATATTAGCAATAAAAATAACAGGATCCTTTGGAAATCAAATAAAAACATATGTACGTACCCACCAATTCCTATAGAAATCCATCGAATAACGCTGGGGCATTCCTTATATCAAATACGAATAATTATCTCAAATAGTTTTTGAAATATTTTCAAAAATCCAAACCATTCTTTTTTTATATTATTGTTTAGGTCTGTTCCAACAACCATCAGTACCTAGTTATTGACACCGGGATTCTGCGCAGTAAATAATTTAGCAGTCCCAATAATCTACTGCGCAGAATCCTGATGTCAGTGACTGGTTTCTGATCGTTGTTGGAGCAAACCTTTTATAACTTATGCAATTTGTCGGCCCCTATTGTCCACTTGATGGTTTGTTTTAGATGCCATTTCGAATCGAATGAGACCAAAATCATGATTTTCGGTGGTCCAGCCTAGGTTTATGACGAAATGGCACTTGTGGTCCAGACTATTAGGTTGTGACGCCTCGATGAAATAAAACCTCATTTATAAATAGTCACTGTCGTATTTGCATTTTTCTCTAACTAATCTATTTATGTTATGCAATTGATTGCTCTTTCAGCTTTTCGTCGGAATTGACAAAACTACCCGTTTTTAACCAATGGTTTATTCGAGGCGCATATACTTGGGGGGGGGGGGTAGGTACTAAAATGTTTTATTAAAAATAAAATTCTATATTACCACTATCCCCCCAGACTTAAACTTTTATACTTCTACCCCCTAGACTTTAACTAGGGATACGCCACTGTGATCCATCATAAATTTACTTTCTCGTTCGACGTGCACTTACGCGATTTATAACATTTGTGCATTTGTTGTAATGTATTTACCCAAGAAGAAATCACTAAACTGATTTACACTATTAATATTCATGTACACCCTATACAATAACTGGTAACAGTTATCTTTTTGAAAGCACTCGCAGTTTTTACAAGCACGTTGTACAATTTAATTCGAATATACTCTTCCCTTATGTGGCTGACGTTATTCTCGTTCTTTCGAGCGCATTCCGGGAAAGACTCCGCATTCCGGGAAAGACTCCGTTTTCTCGATTCTCATAAGTAGCAGATGTTGCCTGTTGCGATGTTTAGAATGTAAAATTCAGCTATCAGAATATTTTTTCGCGTTCATCCTTTTGTAAAGCTTGCAATCCACCGTTTGGTTTTAGAGTGACAAGCTTGTTAAGTCGGGTGTAAGTTGAGACGCAGTACGGTGAGGTGACTCATTGTGAGTTTCTACGAAACAGAAATCCATACAAACTTAGTCACTTCATCATGTGTCCGAACATGTGTTCATCATTTCAACATTCGTCTGACTTTACAATTTGAGGTAAGTTTAGACAGCGAAGTGTAGAATAATTGTCGAAAAAATGGCACTATTCCTATTATTTAAATTTGAGAACATCACGGTAACATTGACGTTCTTTTTTAGACATCTTATTTTACTATCCGTTTTAATATGTACATGTATTTCAATAACACTATATACAGTATGTTCCCCTAGGTTGGAATCATATGGAAAACTTTTTTATTATTAATTTTAGGAAAAAAAAGTTATTCTTCATAAAAAGTTCTGCATTATCTAAAACCTAGAAGACAGTCATCAAATATCAAATTTTTATGAAGAATAACTTTTTTCCTTAAAATTAATAATAAAAAAGTTTTCCATATGATTCCAACCTAGGGGGACATACTGTATAAAGGCGATGATCATCGGTTAAAGGTGTAAAACCTAAACTTGGGTTTGAATTATTTCATAGCTGCCTTCGAAGTACGAAATAATCGTAAAAAGTAAAAACAAAAGAAATTACGCATAGTATTTTTTGACAACATCCAGCTGTGTATTAAAATCAGTTACGAGATCATTCTTTTTTTTATTACGACTTGTATGAATTTTATATCAATGCCAAAAAAAATAATTATTTTTCTTTATTGTCACTGTTGTTTCATTAGTTTTTTTACTATCGAGGGAACAAAATAACCAAATTCAAGCCGGAACGTTTTTAAATAGCTATTTGTGAATTAAGAGCTGAAAAAATAAAATGGCCGCGCGAAAATTCTTATTTTTGCTCTCTAGTTGCACATATGATTTTGTCTACAATAGTTTTCCATTGGGGTTCAATCTATAAAAAAATGTCAAATTAAGATATATCTGTACCAGTTGTCATAAAAAATAGACGCGATGTTACATCTACTGAGTTTCATTTTCGGCAATCATAAAATCATATTTTTGAAAGAGTAAAACCAAATTTGGTAGATTTTCACACTTTTATTTTAAAAATAAAAATTTTTTTAAACAAACACTAACATGACATATGTTTCGAAGTACAACTTCTTTTTCAAATGTGACTATTTACAATTCGGTATCCAATATATATACAAAATAATTTAACAAAACAAAGTACTTAAGAAAACATCAATAACATTACAAAATAAACTAACTATTTAAAGTAAATAAGGGTACTTAGGTGATTATAATATCCATCAAATAACAATAAGATAGCCCATTACCGGGATTATCTCACAGAAAACTGGGAAAGAGGTTTAATAAAGGTGAATTATTAATATCTAATTGATCATTTAGTAAGTTATCTGAATTTTTAAATCTATTTATTTCAAGTGTTTCTAAATGGTTTAATTTAAGGCTCTTATTTTCTACATGTAAAATTTCAAAGTTGTCTGTAAAAGAATGATTTTCAGCTAAAATATGATTTGAGTAAGTAGAATTATTTTTGTTTTTTGTATAGCTATTATAATGTTCGGAATAGCGTTTTTTGAAAGTACGGCCTGTTTGACCAATATACAATTTTGGACAACAGGCCGTACTTTCAAAAAACGCTATTCCGAACATTATAATAGCTATACAAAAAACAAAAATAATTCTACTTACTCAAATCATATTTTAGCTGAAAATCATTCTTTTACAAACAACTTTGAAATTTTACATGTAGAAAATAAGAGCCTTAAATTAAACCATTTAGAAACACTTGAAATAAATAGATTTAAAAATTCAGATAACTTACTAAATGATCAATTAGATATTAATAATTCACCTTTATTAAACCT